GCACTGCCAAGATTACCTGCCAGTCAAAGCAAACAAGAACCCAACTCTTATTCAGTCTGCTCGTATTCGCCTTGGTCTCATCATTGGGCAGAAAGTGAGCCGACCATGAAGACAAATAAACTGAATCTGCATATGGAAGAAGATTTTGAATAGATTTTTGAATGATGACAGGGTTTGTTTTTACCAGGTGCTTTTCCCTGCAGTTTCTCTTTCAGCTCTCTGAGTTTAGCAACTTCTTTCTCCAGTGGCTTCTTCAAATCTGTACTGCTCAACTGAAAACACAAGTACAAATTCCAGTGAGAGCATGAAACCTAAAATTTGTATGATATTCTAGCTCTAAGTCATGTTGGGTTTAGCTACCTTGCAGCTATAGGGGTTTTGTGCGATGAAGGCTGCCAACAGCTGTATAGCACTTTTCACCGCATTTATAGATTTGTCCATCAGTCGTCCCACAGCAAGTTCCATTACTTCACTGTACCTACACAGGGGCAGTGCCTGTACACATGGTGACAGTTTCACTTACCAAGAAATACTGTCATCCTTTTACAAATACACTACAAGACAAAGAAAACATACTTTGCTGTTGACAATGCGTGTGTAAACCTGCAACACACGTGCTCTGACATGGGCATGTGTGTCATGCAGATGTTCCTGCAGTGTGTCAAAGAAGCGGTCACGGTCAGCTTTACTGGACTCATCTAGATCATCACCACACAGGACTTGCACAAGGATCTCTCCTAGTACTTCACACACAGCAACACGCATTGTGTGGCTCTGTATAAAAAGGGGGAAATAAGAAATCAGGCAGTGTCACTACAATACTGTTCATTCTACAACAGTCCTAAATTATGAGTCACCTCTTGTGATATGTTCAAATAAATATGTCACAGGAGGAATAACTTGCACATGAGCATTATAACTACTTTAGTAAACAAAAACAGCAGAAAACAGTTTTGAGTCCAAATGGGTTTCTAAACTGTGCCCTCAGATTACCAAAGAGACAGCTCATGGCTAACTGAATAGCAAGAGAGCTGGGTGAACTTCATGCCTTTTTCACACTCACACACACTGTCAGCATCATCCCAGCAATTACTCCACTGTGACTGTTAGAGGAATAATTTGGGTTGAGCCAAGTCACTGTAGGCAGGCCCTT